AAATTTGCCCCCCCCCCCCCCGAGCTCATACTATTTTTACTCTGGACACGTGGAGCCACTCTGAGCGCTGCTGACCATGAATCAGCAGTATGCGGTACAATAAAACTGCATTTGAATCCAAAAACAAACAAATGTCAGGCAATTAAATATGCTGAAGTGACCCGTAAAAACCCAGGTTGGGTCATTCAGGGCTCAGAGGTCAAGACACATGACCTCAAGGTCAGGGTTACAATACTAATTTGACTGGGCAGGGAAAAGAGCAGTACTTTTAGAACAAAGAGACCCCTTTCTGCAAAGTGTGACCGTGCTGACAACAATGGTTCAATGGTGATTTAGTCAGGAGTTTTTGGGCTAAAAGAAAAGCACAATGAAAATTTTTCACAGCTCTACTCAATTGACTAGTGGGGCTATCATGGGATAATAGATCTACAATTCAGTTTTCTCTTGTGGGTCAGCTGAAAGATTTACATTTTGCATTTGAAAACTAAGCATTTTAATAATAAAACAAAGATTTTGAAAAATTAATTAATTGATAAAAATATTGAAGCAAGGCATTATTAAATAAATGCATAAAACATGACAGATATATCCCTTTTGTTCAATCTTTATAGGTCCAGTAGACGCAAAAGGGGAAAGTAGTGTTACAACCTTCCGCCATATTTCTAGATTTTTTTAAACATTTAAATGAAAGTTTTGAGTAAATGTTATATATCTGCTAATTCAGATGAAACACATCATGTCATTTAACATTCATGAACCTGATCGCAAATCAAATACTAACTCTTAAAATACTCCATATTTTAAAGGAAATGCATGTAATTTGTGCATGACCATTTTTTTCTGTAATAAATGCAGAACATGGTCAGATTTTTTGTGAATTTTAGTATTTTAGTCTTGGAAAATACTGCTCAGCTGCACAGACAGGGTGGTAATCAAGCCCAGTAAGTGAATTTCTATTAGCATAGCATGCAATCAGCAACCTACTAATGAGGGTTGTATGAAAGGGAAGGGAGGTGCTGCTAATGACCAAATCAGCATCATACTTAGACTTGCTATCTAATAGAAAAACCTGCCTCTGTAATACCCAAGAGATCCTTTGTTGATCCCAGCAAAAGGGACAAAACGTTTCTGGTCAGTTTCTTGGAGCAGTAATGCAACCTCCATATTTCCTGCTGAAACAGATCACTCAGTAGCATGTTTGTCTGTAGCGAACTCTCTCTCTAGTTCTAGTGAATTTTGTGATGTACCCTTTAGGGTACGCTTAAAAGGCTTTATACTGCATACGTTTTTTGTTTGTGTGTGTGTATATTAGACATGTGGATCTGTGCCTGCGGCCGCTGTAGCCTCCGGTCTTTGCAGCCATCTGAGACAAACCGCTTTCTCAAATAGATCTCATCTCCACTCTTTACACTCTAGTCAATTTGGCCTTGTAGAGCTCTGAATTTAGTTTCACTGTGTTTTTATTTTGCTCAAAGGCAGGTTCAAAGCACTTGAAGATAAAAATGGCAAATAATCAAGAACTGCACTCATAAGGTGCTCATGATTATTCAGATGGTATCACTGGCTGATCCATTAGGCTGTATGTTTGAAAAGAAAACCAGATGAAACCGTAAACAACAGCAAACTGAAACTGCGAATTATGGAGTATCGTAGCACACATGACCTCCTTTCATATGGAAAAAAACCTAAATCAAAGGCTTTGAGGTGATAAAAAGCTTTTTTGCACGCAGATTTCTGTTCTTGTTTGAACGTCAGTTTCTGTAGAAACGTTTTAAAACCTCAACCGCTCTCTCCTCTGTACTTTCCACCTTGGCTCTTTGCTGATGACTTACACTTTATTCGGGGATCCTGCGTGAGATATCTGTCTAGCTGGTGAGGGCATTAACTGGGGCAAACCATTCTCAGCAAGGTCTTGGCAAGCGGCCACCAGAACGACGACCATGCTTGAGCGATGGAATGCACTTCAAAGAGTCATTGTGTAGGTTGCACACTTCCTGGCGCTTGGCAGGATTTCGACGCATATGGATAAATATGTCTACCAGCCTTTTCGCAGGAAGGAAGCAAGGTGTTGCTATGCTGGCTTGTGAAGTAGAACACAACAAGGGTATGCTGTTGGCTCTCAGACGCAACTAGTTCTCTCTCCAAGAAAATAGTGCATCTATCCATATCTGCTTTTCTGCTTTTCATTAATTGAGCAAATAATGTGGAGCAGTTCACTAAACAGTGCATCACAATGAATGACTGAATGGCTCTATTACTTATACTGTAATGGATTTGATTAATATGTTAATGCACTTACATGGCACAGAATTAACTTTATATACCAAGTCATGCATTCCTGAGTCAAAGGTTTAATGATATGCTAAAAGGTTAGCTGTATTGTTCAGGGGTTTTAAAACTTTTTGATGCCAAAGACCATGGAATATGAGGATCTCTTGTGAGGGGCCCTTTTCCCCCACTCTCCAAGAAAATAGTGCATCTATCCATATCTGCTTTTCTGCTTTTCATTAATTGAGCAAATAATGTGGAGCAGTTCACTAAACAGTGCATCACAATGAATGACTGAATGGCTCTATTACTTATACTGTAATGGATTTGATTAATATGTTAATGCACTTACATGGCACAGAATTAACTTTATATACCAAGTCATGCATTCCTGAGTCAAAGGTTTAATGATAATGCTAAAAGGTTAGCTGTATTGTTCAGGGGTTTTAAAACTTTTTGATGCCAAAGACCATGGAATATGAGGATCTCTTGTGAGGGGCCCTTTTCCCCCCAAAAAATACAGCTAAATGTTTTGACTGAAACAGATGAATATTGGAATCTATTCGATTAATCATGATTATTTTATTCTATTGACAGCCTTAGCTTGTAACACTAACAAATAAAAACATAATCTATAGTGTTTTGTTTTTTAATGATGCACTTCTGTTCAAAAGCTTGAAGTCAGTTTTTATGAAATAAGTTTTTGAAAAAAGCTTCTTATACTCATTAAGGCTGCATTTATTTGATCAAAAACAGTAAAAAAAAAACCTGCAATATTGTGAATTATTATAAAAAAAAATTAATAACTGTTTTACATTTTAATATATTTTAAAATGTAATTTATTCCCCTGATGGAAACGCTGAATTTTCAGGAGCCATTGTTCTAGTCTTCAGTGTCACATGATTCTTCAGAATGTTGTGCTGCTTTACACTTTGGTGGAAACATATGACTTTTTTTAGGATTCTTTGATGAAAAGAAAGTAAGAAATGAACAGTCCTAGAATATCTTTAAAACCATTCTTTCTGAAGTGCCTCACAGACATCCTATACTCTCAGAATAAAAGGTACAAAAGCTGTCACCGAGGTAGTACCTTTTCAAAAGGCACACCTTTGTACCATATTTATCCCATAAAGGTGCATTTTAGTGCATTTTAATTTAAAGGTGCATTAGTCTCTAAAGTGTACATATTAGTATTTTTTTATTAATATTTTAGATTTTTTTTATTGATAAGTACCTTTGAAACCGCCCCAGACAGTTTTTGTACTTGTTTCAGAAATTGTTTTTTAAAAGATATTTAAGATTAAAGTATTTTATGTAGTGTATATTTTAGGGCTGTTTCTGAAAGTGTAGCACTCTCTTGCGGGCCCCTGGGTGTCCCTGGACCCCAGTTTAAAAACCCCTGATAGATACTCTAATAGTGCCAGTAGGTGAGCCTAGATGATCATGTACAGTACATGTGCACTTAAGTAAGCAGCATATGAGGAAATAATGACATAAAAGAGAGAACGACTCCCTACAGAAGTGTCTCTGCATCTGTGCTTGAGCCCTGCCAAAATGGCTGCCCTGGCTGCAGTGGCCCTGACTGTAAGCCCTGGGAGCATTCCTGCTCCAGCTGTGGCTCTCCACATCAGGGCTGCTTTGCACACACACACACACACAAGTGCCTGGGATTAATTAGGGTATCACAGCGAGGGGGTGGGTGTGTGAGGGGTGAAAGAAGTAGAGGGTGGTACAGGAGTATAGATGGGAGGTTAGGACAAAAATTGTATGAAAAACAACTGTTCTCTTACCCCTCTCTCAGATTCCAGAGGTTCTGCTTTGACTCGGACTGCAGGCATTCCGTCTAGCATTAACATCCTGTTATTGATGGCGTCTGCAAGCCGAGAGAGAGAGAAAAAGAGAAAGGCATGAGAACGCTGCTGAGTGTGACTCCTCTCACCTTTTCCATGATTGAGTCAAACCTAGCAAGCTCTGAACAATAACGCAGGCTACAATGCAACAGGCAATGATGTCATCACGGTATGCAGTGAGTAAACAGTTCAGGTTTATGGCCGAGGGTAAACAAACGCATCTGGGGCATATTTTGGCTGGCATTTTACACCCAAATGACTGTGAAGAGTGAGTGACACAGAATGTAGCATAGTAGGAAAGCTGTAACGCTACATCATGTCAGTGCTGAGAGAATGCAGAATAAATACAGTATCAAGTATGATTTTATGTGAATAAACACCAATAATTCCATCCCAAAGTTACTCCATCAGCTGAGACTAAATGTTATGGTTACTCTATTCTGTGCCTGGTTAAAATAAACAAAAAACAATCAATCAAAATGTTTATTGATGCTTTATAGTTATATATCACAGATCATATTTTATATTTGAAGCTACAAATGATCATAATAAACATTTACCTTTTGTGGTTTTACTAGCCTTCAGTTAGCAAGCTAATAGCTTCGCTTAGCTTATAACAGGTAAAGAAGAGTTTTACATTTACATTGTCATTTAGCAGACGCTTTTATCCAAAGTGACTTACAAATGAGGATAATAAAAGCAGTAAAAACTAACAAAAGAGCAACAATATATAAGTGCAAATGACAAGTCTCGGTTAGCCTAATACAGTACACGTAGCAAGGTGTATATATAATGCACGACACCTGTGCCACTCACCGCTCTCGAGTCCCACGGAGGAGCTTCGGAAGGATAAAAGGAGGAGTGACGACATTGTTGGACGAGGGAGGACCAGGCCTGGATTTTATTTTGTGTTTTGTGTGCGGCAGTCGTCCGCGAGGGGCTACCGCTTTACTTTTGTTTTGTGTTGGTTTATTTTATTAAAGTTTTAAATGTTCGCCAGTTCCCGCCTCCTCCTTCCCGATCTACAAACTTTGTTACAATACACTGAAAATGATAAAAAATATATAGAATAAATACAGTCTTGCTGCAGAAAACAACATCAGTGATGACTTCGTTGGTTATCAAGATGCCAATTCCTAAAATACTTGAATGATTTATAGCAGGGTTCCTCAAATCTTACCCTGGAGGGCCAATGCGCTGCAGAGTTTAGCTCCAACCCTGATCAAACTTACTTACCTGTGATTTTCTAATGATCCTGAAGACATTGATTAGCATGCTCAGGTGTGTTTGATTAGGGTTGGAGCTAAACTCTGAAGGAAAGTGGATCTCGTGGGCCAGATTTGAGGATCCCTGATTTATAGGATGCATGTGCTAAATGTCATCAAAATCAATCCCAGACCACCTCTGAAAGTGTTTTTAGTGATCCGTTCACTGGAAACACATTAATGCCAGGTGTAAAAGGGGCCTGTAGATAGGAAAGAACATTCAGCAACACCTAGGTGACCTGCTGCATGTCTGTAGGGTAAAGCTGTGCTAGCAAACACATGCGCTCACTCGTAACACACACACACACATATAGCATCTACATACACACACACAATCAAGGCTGTTGCTGCTATCAGAGTCTCCTGACATTTCTCTTCTTGTATATTCACACAAATGACAAGACTTTCTAACAGAATCCATGTCTTTGTGCAAACTCCCCTCAGGCGTCTGAGTCTCGGAACAAAGACTCCAGCCTTGTTACGGCTCTGTTCTTTACAGTGGGCATTGCTCTACCAGACTCTCTCACACATGAAAAAGTGGCCACCTCCCTCAACATCCAAGGAATGCACAAGGAGACAGCTTTAATGAACTGGTGGAATCTGATTAAAAGCTAATATGGCTCTTGGAGCACTGCATGATGGGGAGATGAGACGCTCCAGCACTCCCAGCGAGACACTTTCTCTCCCCCGTCTACTCAATTTACCATGTTTAACACCATAAAGGCGCAGTAATAGACGCATGAGCATCTTGGGAAATGCAATATTCATGTTTCCTTATGTTTGTTTGGGTTTCGCCTGTCAGGAGGGACAAGTTCGCATACAAACAGATAGATAGGTGACTGGTCTTGAGGATAGAAAAGAGTGAACATAAATCTCTGCTGTCGAAATGACTTTCTTAGATGTGACAGATGCTCCTACGATCTGCACACAAGTATGGCTTTCGGAGTTAGAAAAGGGAACCTCACGAAAGAGCCAATCACAACAATGCAATTGTGGCTCAGAGGGAGGTGTCCCAAAGTAACCCGTGCGTTTATTATTTTAGCAGCAGCACATAATGGAATGCAAGCAAAGCAGATACACTTTAAACATCTCTATTACGCTTCACTCCTGGCATGGACGGCAGGAAATCAGGCTCAGATCTCGACTCAGCACTTGGGCTGAAACAATTCTGTTGAACAACACTACGGTCCACCGGATTAATCAACATTTTTATGCTTTTACAGGAAGTGTTCACTTTTACAGTTATTATTTTGGTCATAGTTATTGTGCTTTGACAAAAATTTAGCTAACATTTTGTAATTTTCAATCATTTTAGTCTTAAATTAGAAAAGTCAAACAATAAACACATTTTCCAATATTTTGAAAAATATATAAAAATTAAACTTCTGAAACATCAAAACATTAATATAACAAGGTGTGAAAAGTGTTGGATCAGGATTTATTTATTTATTTTTTAAGAAATTAATACTTTTATTCAGCAAGGAACCATTCAATTGATCAACAGTGACAAAAAAGAAATAGAAATATGTTGTAAATGTTATACATCTATAACATTACAAAATATTTCTATTTCAAATAAGCACTGTTCTTTTTAACTATTTATTTATCTAAGAGCCCTGAAAAAAATGCACAACTGTTTTTAACATTAATGTTCAAGAAATATTTCTTATTATTACCAATTCAGCATATTAGAATGCTTTCTGAAGGATCATGTGACACAAATTACATTTTAAAATATACTGAAATAGAAAACTGTTCTTCTAATAATATTTCACAGTATTACGGTTTTAACTGTAATTCCATCAAATAAATGCAGTTTTGGTGAGCATAAGAGACGTCCTTTACTGATTGCAATTAAGTGTCTTGTCACCATTCTTGAAAAAAAAAACTATTATTATTTCCATCAGTAATTTAATAGAAGAGATCAACACTACTGTATATATAGCATCCATGTTAGCCAATAGCCGTTGCACTATATTTACCAAGCTTTCTGGCTTTTCTAAGAAAAGACTCTTATTTATGTGGAGTTAAAATCAAAACACAATTTCTGTGTGAATTTTAACCCTATGCTCTTCTCATTGACGAAGCCTGCTTCCAAGCTAATCTGTGTGCATTGGATTGATATTGTGATCAGGATGTCCAATGGCTGCAGGTAGTGATGGGCTGAGATAATGTTGCCATGGCAACTCAAGTTGGAACTCAGAGGGTTATTGTCCTTCTGGATTGACATGCGAGGTTTCACAGTTGACCAGGGCACTCGCTGTTCAACAGCCGGCTATTTTTTTTGTGTCCAAGGAGCTGTCATCACGCTCGTGTGCATTGTGTAAGCATATCACTCTGAGACATTGATCATTAGATCAGATAAATGAGCCAACCTCTTGCCTAACTAACCTTGTCCCTTAAGAGAGCACCAAATGGGAAATCAATACCAAGAGCAAGGTCTCAGTTGTTTCATTAACCATCAAATGAACAGATTATTAGCATAATTGAGTATAGCACCACGAGGTTAACATTTAGGGATCAGGATTTATTTATTTATTTTTTAAGAAATTAATACTTTTATTCAGCAAGGAACCATTCAATTGATCAACAGTGACAAAAAAGAAATAGAAATATGTTGTAAATGTTATACATCTATAACATTACAAAATATTTCTATTTCAAATAAGCACTGTTCTTTTTAACTATTTATTTATCTAAGAGCCCTGAAAAAAATGCACAACTGTTTTTAACATTAATGTTCAAGAAATATTTCTTATTATTACCAATTCAGCATATTAGAATGCTTTCTGAAGGATCATGTGACACAAATTACATTTTAAAATATACTGAAATAGAAAACTGTTCTTCTAATAATATTTCACAGTATTACGGTTTTAACTGTAATTCCATCAAATAAATGCAGTTTTGGTGAGCATAAGAGACGTCCTTTACTGATTGCAATTAAGTGTCTTGTCACCATTCTTGAAAAAAAAAACTATTATTATTTCCATCAGTAATTTAATAGAAGAGATCAACACTACTGTATATATAGCATCCATGTTAGCCAATAGCCGTTGCACTATATTTACCAAGCTTTCTGGCTTTTCTAAGAAAAGACTCTTATTTATGTGGAGTTAAAATCAAAACACAATTTCTGTGTGAATTTTAACCCTATGCTCTTCTCATTGACGAAGCCTGCTTCCAAGCTAATCTGTGTGCATTGGATTGATATTGTGATCAGGATGTCCAATGGCTGCAGGTAGTGGTGGGCTGAGATAATGTTGCCATGGCAACTCAAGTTGGAACTCAGAGGGTTATTGTCCTTCTGGATTGACATGCGAGGTTTCACAGTTGACCAGGGCACTCGCTGTTCAACAGCCGGCTATTTTTTTGTGTCCAAGGAGCTGTCATCACGCTCGTGTGCATTGTGTAAGCATATCACTCTGAGACATTGATCATTAGATCAGATAAATGAGCCAACCTCTTGCCTAACTAACCTTGTCCCTTAAGAGAGCACCAAATGGGAAATCAATACCAAGAGCAAGGTCTCAGTTGTTTCATTAACCATCAAATGAACAGATTATTAGCATAATTGAGTATAGCACCACGAGGTTAACATTTAGGCACAATTTGTCTATCTTAGCTCCAATTGATTAACACTTAATCAAGGGGTTGTGATGGAGGATGTTGCATCGCCAACTGTAGTTAACAGTGCCAAGGTGATACGAGGGGCAAGAGTAACGATGACTAATTCTAGATCTGTTTTCCTCCAAACA